ACTGAAATGTCTCCTTCCCCACCAGTCTTTGTCATAACTGAAACTATTCATTTCAAAACCAAACCAAGGGCTGACTCTGGCAATCTGGAAAACACCAGTTGCCAGTGAAGCATCCAGTTGCTTTTTCGTTTCTGATCAGGTTTAGTTGTCACCATTTTAACTCTCTAAATATACTTCAGCTGCACTTTTTGTACCTTTTGTTTTTCCCTTTGGGCTGGGTATTATTTCACAGAATCATAAGGTTGGAAAAGCCCTTTAAGATCATCAAGTCCAACCATGAACCCAACACTGACAAGTCCCCTATGACTAACCCATGTCCCTCAGCACTGTGTCTACACGACTCTTCAATCCCTCCAGGGATGGGGACTCCACCACAGCCCTGGGCAACCCCTTCCAATGCCTCAGAACCCTTGCAGCAAAGAAATTCTTCCTCACATCCCATCTCAACTGCCCTGGCCACAACTGGAGCCCATTCCCTCTTGTCCTGTCCCTTGGGCCTTGGTTGAACAGCCCCCCCCCCACCTCTCTCCACCCTCCTCCAAGGGACTTGCACAGAGCCAGAAGGTCTCCCCTCAGCCTCCTTTTCTCCAGGCTCAACCCCCCCAGTTCCCTCAGCCACAAGGGAACTCAGCACACTTGTGCTCCAGACCCTTCCCCAGCTCCGTTGCCCTTCTCTGGACCCGCTCCAGCACCTCCATGTCCTTCTTGGAGTCAGGGGCCCAACACTGAACCCAGCACTTGAGCTGCAGCCTCACCAGTGCCCAGTGCAGGGGGAAGAGAACTTCCCTGGTCCTACTGGCCACACCAGTGCTGTTATATGTAATACATTGAGTGGAAGAGTAGGGAAGCTCAATACTCACTCCTAAGAGAAGAGATGCAGGAAGAGCAAGGGGACAGGCAAGACACTCTCTGATTGTCAGTAGCTTTGAGCACACCCTGTCTGGATTTGTTTCTTCCTCAAAAAAAGCCTCTTTCATTTCAGAACTCGTAGAATTGTGAATTAAGCTTCCCACCCTAAGATAAATTCACCAATGTTGAGTCCTTCAGCTCTTCAGATGTGCCACACAGTGTGTAGGTGGAAGAGGGGAGGAGTCCACCTGTAGCTGAAATACGATTTGCATGCATTTTACACAAAGAAATGTCAAAAAAGGTACAAAGAACTGAATTTTAAACATCATTTCTCAACTCCAGCCTACATTCTTTTTTTTGAAACACAAAACCCCATTTTACTACCATTACTGTCTAAGCCTGGTACGTGTGAAAGCTCCTTCCCAAACCATCACAAACCATTGAACCAAAATGAGAAGGAGTCAGCTCACACTACCATGATTCAACTAAAAACCACAAATACCTCAGTGCAGCTTTAGTCTGAATTATGATTTGAATTTGTCTTTTCAAAAGGACTTATCACAAAGGTTTGTTACTCTGTGATACACCAGTCATCCACTGGTGAGGCTGCACCTCAAGTGCTGGGTTCAGTGTTGGGCCCCTGAGTCCAAGAAGGACATGGAGGTGCTGGAGAGTGTCCAGAGAAGGGAACGGAGCTGGGGAAGGGTCTGGAGCACAAGTGTGCTGAGTTCCCTTGTGGCTGAGGGAACTGGGGGTGTTGAGCCTGGAGAAAAGGAGGCTGAGGGGAGACCTTGTGGCTCTGTATTGGTGTATCACAGTACACCAGTAACACCAGTAACACCAGAGTGTGACACCAACATTGGTGTATCACAGTACACCAGTAACACCAGAGTGTGACACCAATTTTTTTCCAGGGAAATAGCTGCAGTTGTGTTTCATTGCTAAACAGCAAGATATTATCTTAAAAATAAAATAAATAAATAGGATTTTAAAAAGACACAAACACAGGAATCCAAAGCTGGTGGTTATTTTTTACTTGAAGACTCTCTGAAACATAAAAAAAAAAAAAGAAAAGTATTTAACACAGTTAATTAATTCCTTCTGGAAAGAAACTGGACGTGCTCGGTCAAGGTGAAGACATGGAAAGGGCAACCTGACTTTTACAAAACTGATATTCAAGCACCATCAATACACACAAAGGACAGGTTCTTACACACAGCTGTGACATTAAACCTTCACTCAGCCTCAGTCAACATCTTTGGAATACAGATTTTAAAATAATAATAATCAAGAAATTTAAATATTCACAGGACAAAACCATAATGTTCTTAAAAACAGGAACAGTAAGATTTGCAGAGCTCAGAGGCTGCCTGTGGATAATCAGGAGTTACACTCATCACAAGTGTGGGTCTGTCACAGGGATTCCAGCTGGATTCCAGCAACTCGGAGCACTCAGGACTAAGAGGCAGGTTTGGAATCTGGTTACTTGCCCAAGGTAGGGAGGCAGTAAGAAAAGGCAGGAGTGCAGAAGGCAAAGGCAGGATGAATTAGTGCCAGAAGTTCTTGTTAAACCAGGAGTCTAGAGGTACAGCAAGGAAAAAATAAAATAAAAATAAAAATAAAAGAGGTTCTTTGTTCTCTGAAAAGTTTGCCAGAAATTATCAGTATATATTTGCTATATTGCACAAACATTTTAAAAGGAACTCAAAAAATTAGAAAAAGCTACGTTTGTACCAGCTACATTTAAATAGATTCCAAGTGGAGTCAGCCCATATAGTTCAGCTTTTCAAATAATTCAAGTTTCCCCTAACAACAGCATTTCTGTGCCCCCTTGTCTTCTCAAGCCCTCTCCAAACAAAGGAAATACAGCATTTACCAAAGCCACCACTTCTCCTTACAGCATCACGGGTTTATTGCTTATTTTACTAGTGACAAAGGCTAAGATCTAAACTTTTAGAGAATTTAAGGCAATTCCATAAGACCAACACCTCAAAGGGCATTGACAGCACACAGTGGTCTGCATCCAAACACCAGGAAAAGTCTGATATTTAAAAAAAAAAGAAAAAAAAAAGACAGGAATGTTGAGATTTTAAACAAAAGGACCCTTTCAAGCATCAGTTATTATCTTGCTGACACATAACCCAGCACTGAAGTTGTAAGTCACTCCAGAGCACCAACGTTTGAGGGAAAGAAGGAGAAGGAAAAGAAGGAGAAGGAAAAGAAGGAGAAGGAAAAGAAGGAGAAGGAAAAGAAGGAGAAGGAAAAGAAGGAGAAGGAAAAGAAGGAGAAGGAAAAGAAGGAGAAGGAAAAGAAGGAGAAGGAAAAGAAGGAGAAGGAAAAGAAGGAGAAGGAAAAGAAGGAAGAAAAAAAAACCCAAACCAAAACCCAAGGCATATTCTTAACAGCTTTACAAGCTGATTCACCTGCAGGAGCCTGGAATATTGTTTCCCCAACATTTCTTTCGTATCCCCAGAGTTCATGAAGATTCATGAAGAGCTCCATGTCTGAGGCTGTCTCAATAACCCGGAGGAGAGCACGGCTTTAGAGAGCCAGGCTTCAGTGAAACCATCAAGAGCTTTTCTATGTTTGTGGTTTTAATGACTCACAATCAAATTTACTATTGACACAGATTTATCAACTGCCAGTCCTGCAAACCCACTCAGATTAATTAAAAAAAAAACAAACAACCCAAAAACCAAAATGATAGAAAAGCAACAAAACCCACCTAAAACCAACCAAAAAAAACCTGCAAACCCACTCAGATTAATTAAAAAAAACAAACAACCCAAAAACCCAAATGATAGAAAAACAACAAAAACCCACCTAAAACCAACCAAAAAGAAACCCCCAAAACAACCCAGCAAGAACAGGATAGACAAAAAACCTAAATATGCTCAGCATGAGGTGAACTCTGCCCTTGCAAATACTTGGGAAATTAACTGAAAGAATTGGGAAAATTCTGTAGGAAAAATTCTGTAGGAAATTTCTGTAGGAAAATTCAAGGTAACACTGGCCCACAACGCACATGTGCATTCTTTTTATTTCTATATAAAGTGAAAACAAATACCAGACAGAAAACAGGAGACTACAGGGGTTTTTTTTAAAGAAGAAAAAAATTGGGGTATATTGTTTCAAGATGGTTTTGTGAAAACAGAAAGAAAATATTACTTTCTGTCAAAGAAATTAAGAAGCCATTATTTCAACTTCAGACCAGGTACAGCCTTGACTGGATTTGCAGTAAAATGTGATTTAAGCAGAAATTGCTGATGATGTAAAATAAGCAGAGTCCTGCTGCCATCCAGCAGGATGAACGGACAGGATTTGCACTCGAAGAAGCCTGTGTGTAAACTATTTCAAATTGGAGTCATTGAGACAAACAAAACTTCATGGTGCCACTTGTCATTTTTTTTTTTTCTCTAGAGAATTACTTTGCCAAGCAGCTCACAGAGTTTTCTACAGCTTTTTTCCTAAAAGAAATGGATGCAAATAGCAGGTTTCTGGTCAGCCAGAGAATTCAAACTCCACAGAGCGTTTGTGGTAACTTCCACCTGGGAGGATGGCAAAGGAGATTTGCCATCATGCTCTCTAGATTTAGTTTAGAGGGCAAATTCTCTAGAGGAAGATGGCAACTTTCAGCTCTTTGGGGTTTGTAGCACTCATTGTCATAGCAAAAAGCAGTTTTTGTCATGTAAAAAGCCTGGAACGTGTCCCATAACTGAAGGAACTTTTCCCCCTCAGTATTTTTTCAGAGTAAAACTAGATTTATACCGAGAAACCTTTTTGAATGCTTGAAGGGCAAACAGGTTAGTGCATTTTCCTTGCTAATGTTCCCTAATGCAACAAGTACACTGATTTACATTCTGTTAAAAAATAAAATAAAATAAATCCCTATAGAACAAGTCATTCAAGAAACCACATAAGTTATTTCTTGGCACTTCTCTGCACACAGACAGGAGAAGTTTAGCAACAGCCTGTTTTAGTTCTGAATACCTGATGCCAAAGATACTTCCTTGCTTTATTTTTTTTCCTGAATTCATGAAATGCATCCATATTACCACCACAGAAGTCATTCTTCTCTTCAAGCTGAAAGATTTGACATTTAGCTCCTTTCCAGTTGGTGACTCAAACACTAATCCTGCATGCAAACACGGCTAAGATTTCTCCAGTGTAGCAGCAGGGTTCACTGGGCGCTGCCTGACGGTATTCGGTGACGAGTTTCTGTTGGACACCTCTTTATCCTCTGCTTCATCATCTGAGATATCTTCCTCATCTGCTTCTTGCTCTTCATCCAGCTTTTTCAGCAGCTGAGCTGACTCTGGAGCTAGCTCTCCTCAAGGAGAAAAGAAAACATGCCAACACCAATAAATACCATTACCATGTGAAATACACTTTTTTTTTTAACATCACAGGCTAGCACAGAATTTTAATTAATTTAATCCAGGCAGCACTTTCCAGTATCACTTAAGCTGCTATCTTAGGTAGAATTGTTGCTAGTATGAACTTACCCACAGGTCAAGTATTAATATACCTACATAAGTTAATATAAAACTTACTCCAGCTTTGAAAAAAAAAAATTAGTCAGGTTCCTACAAACCACAAACCAGAATTCACATGTTTTTCCCTGACATTTTTAAGATTCCCTTGGAAAAATTCCAGAGACTAATGCAGAAATGCAAATTCACTTTTAGTCTTCACTTTGCCTCTAAAACTTATGCAAAGCCCCAGTTTAGGAATACTGAGAGCTCCACTCAAAACTTTTATCTCCCTGTACATATGGAGTTTCATATCTTGCAGGTATGAAAACACTGTGAAACTATTTTTCTATCTCCTAAAAAAAACCCCCAAGTTTTAAAAATAGTTTAGCTTTAGCTAAATACAAAATACAAACCCACTGTAAACCCTAAGGGCAAACAGCTGCAGGTAAAGCACAGCATCAATCACAAGTGTCAACTTCTGCATGAAATCTCATGTCCTGCAGACACAAGTTACAGACCAATATTTATTAAATAAGCTATACCAAATATCTTCACTGAGCTAGAAGCATATAGTGTTCTTACTTGCATGAGGGTACTGTGGTGGTCTGTGTCGTTTGGATGGACAGATGCAGTCTGCTAAGAACACCATGATCTGAAACCAAAGACAGACAAGTTTAAACCTCCAAACATCCTGTACGTTAGAATCACAGAATCATTTAGGTTGGAAAAGCCCTTGAAGCTCATCGAGTCCCATCATGAACCCAACACTGACAAGTCCCCTATGACTAACCCATGTCCCTCAGCACTGTGTCTACACGACTCTTCAATCCCTCCAGGGATGGGGACTCCACCACTGCCCTGGGCAACCCCTTCCAATGCCTCAGAACCCTTTTGGTCAATAAATTTTTCCTAATATCCAACCTAAACCTCCCTGGTTTTATCGCTTGTAACTTGGGACAAGAGACCGACCCCCAACTCGGTCACCAACTGGATTTAACTCCATTCCCCACCACTCTTTGGGCCAGGCCCAAAGTTTCCACCAGCTCCCAGTTTTTCACCCATCCAAGCCATGAGCAGCCAGTGTCTGCAGGACAATGCTGTGGGAAACACTGTCAAAGGCTTCACTAAAGTCCAGCCAGACAACATCTACAGCCTTTCCCTCATCCACTAAGCAGGTCTTGTCATCATAGGAGGAGATCAGGTCAGTCAAGCAGGACCTGCATTTCATAAGCCCATGCTGGCTGGGCCTCATCACCTGCCTGTCCTGTACACGCCACATGATTGCACTCAAGATGACCTGTTCCATAACCTTCCCCAGCACCAAGGTCAGGTTGACAGGCCTGTAGTTCTCCAGATTGTCCTTCCAGCCCTGCTCATAGATGGATGTCACATTTGCTAACCTCCAGTCCACAGGGACCTCCCCAGTTAGCCAGGACTGCTGATCAGTGACGGAAAGTGGGTTGGTGAGCACAATCTGCCAGCTCCCTCAGTACCCTTGGGTGCATCCCATCCAGCCTTGTGCGTGTCCAAGTGGTGTAGCAGCTCACTAAGCATTTCCCCTTGGATTATGGGGGCTTCATTCTGCTCCCCATCCCTGCCTCCCAGCTCAGAACAACTGGTTTTACTATTAAAGACTGAGGCAAAGAAGGTGTTAGTATAACACACAGTAGCCACAAGCCATTCTGTTCCAGTGCTTCACTTACAAGTCCCAGGATGAGTCCTGAGAATAGAGTTGCCAAGGCAAAAACAGCATAGGAGCCCCAGACAGGTATTCCAACATTTTCTGTTAAGTAACCATGGCAGTGCTAGAATAAAAGACAAGAAAATCATTTCAGGAATAGCCAAATATCATGTGTGTTGTGATAAAAGAGAGATCTAAGCACGTACCCTGATCCACATCGACAACTGAAACAAAGCTGACATACTGCTCATCCTGAAACAAAGCAGAGAAAAGTAACTGAACACATCTCCCAGCCAGTCACAGCCCTCTGTCTTCTGATCTGCCTGACTGGCCGTTATCTAGTCCCATGTTGAACAACTTTCTGCTCATGTCTAGTTTCCCTTTTTACTACTTGCATTTTTATCTCCTGTTTTGTCTTTTACATCAATAAACACTCATTTTGCACCTGGGCAGGAACAACCCCAGGTTCC